AATCAATAGTATTGAAATACATTGGCATAATAACTTTGACTAGACAATTATAACATATTATAAGTTACTGTTGCAACAGTAATTTGTTGTAGCATTGAATATATTTTATTCTAAATTAACTAAGTACTTAAATTCTTTATTTATTTAACAAAATAAAATTCCTAAAGCAGAGCTCGTACATATGTACGTTATACACATACGTGCATACCGAACAAAATACCTGCTATACTCAATGTATTTACACCTTCCTTTACCATTCGACTCTGACATCAAAAACAAGACAAAAAATTTACTTACTTATAAAATAAAAAATTATGTTTACTCTGCATATGGTATACTCAAATAAAAGGTACGCATGCATATTATAAAAAAATGACCAAAATAAAAGGGCACTGAACTCAAATTTATTTTTTTTTCCATTTTTTCGCATTTTCTGTTAATTTACCGGGGAAAAAGAAAAAATTTATATCGCAAAACTGCAGGTTTACACATATGTACGTGCACATGTGTATTTTTAACATTTCATAAAAATAATAAAAAAAAAATTCATCAAATTAAGTATTTGAAATGAAAAATAAAATAAGTGAACAGAAATTGAAATGGTTTAACGCAAAAATATTAAAATAAAGAAAAAGTAAAAGAAAAAGTTATTTTTTTCGATTTTTCTTTTACCATTTTGTTACAAACATTTTAATTCAACAAGTCACATTGATTTTGTCCATATAATAATGATGTACGCGGGGGTACAAACACTCATATAGGGCATCCAACTATCCTTATATTTTCTGTTTTTTATTATATACGTACATTATACTTATGTGTATGTAGTTATGTTTATTAGGATTTTAATGAATGCATGAAGAAAATATGAAATAGCAGAAAAATTGCGAATAAAATAAACATTATACGCCCTGCGTAGCCATACTTAGGTATATGTTTCTACATATATGCATATGTACATGTATACATCTTTATAAATACACATGCATTCTTGCTTCTTGCACATTTTTTCGTTAAACTGATTTGATAAATATTTTTGCGGTCTAACGCAAATTAATACTTATTCACATTATGTTATAATAAAAAAAAACGTTTTAGATTTTAAGTATATTTCTTAAAATACACTATGAACGCGAATAAGTTGTTTGTGATGTAACATAAGTATATTAAGTAAAACATGCATCTATCAATAGTAAAACCGGAAAGTAATGTTGATTTATTTGCTTTTTCTATTAATTTTTCTTTCAGTTTTGGAATTTTTGATTTTTTAACACGTTTCAATATGAAAGTATATTTTTTAATGGAAACTTATTATGACAACTAATCGACAATCGAATGTAATTTTACTGAATTCTCATGAGATCCTATTTGGAAAAGTTTAAGTATATTAATTTTTAGCTCCTACTAGTATAACTTTCTAATTAGAACACGACCTAATCAATGTCGAATTGTACTTTAGCAGTTTACATTATTCCTTTTTACATTATCGCAACTTATACCCGACATAATTTCAATATAAAATAGGAAAAAAATTAAATAAAATTGTTTTTTGGTGTTTTTTTGCAAACATCAATTTTTAAACTGACTGTCGGCAACAACAGTGAGTAAAAACAAAATAGTGTAGGGTATATTAATTTATAAATAGGGTATATCGATTTACAAAAAAAAAAAAAAAGAACGTGAACAACTAGTAATTACTTACATAATATCTACCAGAATGCAAAATAAGCATTCAAACGTAAAAAAATAAAAAAAAAATATCTGCATTCTGAAAATTTTAAGTAAGTTTTCTTTTATATTTTTTTTTACTTTCTTATGCCTAAATGATTCGCATTCGGACATAAGCTCATTACTTATTTAAAAAAAATCAGACAAATTTATTGATTTCAGTTAAAGTATTGTACAGGATAGAGCCAAATTATATTTTTATTTTTAACAGAAATTACTTTATGGTAGTAATTTTTAATTTTAAAAATTTTATAATGCAGTAAAGAGATGACGTTTCTTTATATGCTTTATGTTGGCTTTTTCATATTTGAAATTTCGAATACAATCGAATATTAATATTGTTATACAACAAACATTTAATTAATTTCTTGTTAATAATATTTTGTAGAAAAATCATTAAGTACTCAAATTTGTAGATATAAAATCATTGTATAATGTGCATGAGTTTACAGACACAATTCCATATAGACAAAATTTATAAAAATAACCCATATTGGATTGAACTTACAAAATATTTAATTATTTTGAAATAAATATAATAAAGTAGTAATTACATAGAATTTCATTGAATAGTAAAATTTATGTCAAACTAAAATATATCTTTAACGTACTAAGTATGGCGGAATATAAGTATATAACTTAACTATTGCGTAACGTAATCAAGAAAGCATGGATAATGCAGCCGAAAAAATAAACTTAAAATAGAGTTTCACTTTTCTTTTCTACCTAATTAATTTATATTTTTTATTACAAAAGTAATGATAATAAATTATATTTTAAGTATATCATAAGGATTAAGATTTTATGTTTACACAATAGAATTTCTGAATAAATTGTACTTCCCAACTATTTCGATACAAATATAGTCATATAAAATGAAAATCATGATCAATGCTAAAAATAATAGATAACGAACAAATTACAAGAAAAAAAAAATCCAACTCTATGCGCAACTGAAAAAATTAAATAAAAAATATTTATGTATAACAATTTATAGATGCAATAATTTGTGTGTATACTATCTATATATACATATATTATAGTTCAACAAAATATGTAAATATGTTTGTTATGCACAAATTTTTATACCTACATACCTATCTCTGTATTATATAAAATAAAAACTTATATACAAAAGTGTCTATAACAAATTGTTATATCTTCAGATTATTATAGTTACAATTATTATTCTTACAAATTATAATATGAAATAAACTTGAGAAGTCAATAAATAGGTACGTGCATGCACCATTAATCACGAAACAAAAGGTCTTGTTTTTAATAACAATAACAATAAAAAAAATGTGCATATATCAAGAAAATTAAATGGGCGAAATTTATTTATTTTTTCCTTTTTTTTTCACATTAAAATTACAAAACAAGTAAGTATAGATGGAAAGATAAAAGTATTTAAATAAAGGATTTTAAAAAAGTATTCTTCCTTAAATATAAAAATATAGAAATTTATTAATTTTATTCTTTTATTTGTGAAAAATTCTTTTCTGATTTTTTTTTTTTTGTTGAATAACTGAATATAAAATTATTAATGAAATAAAAAGGTTCATTCATCTTAATTATCAATTTTGAAATAAGCCTTTTTTACTATATCTAATTAATTATTGGAAAATATTGAATACTACCTAGGTTACTTAATTATTACAATATGCAAACCCTAATAAGGTAAGTGGTAAGTACCTATTTATCTAATTTTATTTACGTAATATCTACTAACAAAATATTTATAAAAACATGAAATTATTGCTTGCTTACATCACCGGTAATTAATTATATATTTTGTTTTTCAGAAAATTGAACAAAACTTTTGAAAATGAAATATATTTTAATAGACTATTACAATCGAATTCTTATTTGACTTCTTATTTTAATATTTTATTGATTTTTCTCAAAATTACAACTTACATAAGGAGGAATATCAATAGAGAAACAATAGGTAAATAAATACAACTAGTTAAAAAAGAAGCAAATCTTACCTTTCAATAATGTAAAATTCAAAATTTGTAATAAAATCTTCTCCTACTCGTATAATTAAAATCAAAAGGAGCGACAATAAATTATTGGCAATTTTTTATTACTACTATTATTTTGTATTAAAATGTTCTTTGAAAAGATGAGAAAATTAAAAAATGCACTAATAATCATCCAACTATAAGACTATGTATTTAAATTTCTGTATTTTTAATTTTCATTTTTCATCATGTTCTTTTTATTTACTATTTATATTTTAGTTTAAGAAAACGGTCGTCTTCCAATTGACTTTTTTTTTGTATTTTTCTCCTCTATCTATTTTAGTTATTATTTTTTTTGTTCTTTATTCTATGTAAAAAAAAAATGAACAAAAAAAAAACAATGATGTGAGACGGTGCAACAAAATTTAGACTACTTATACCTATAATATGTATAGCTAAAATGTGCAAGCTTTTCTCTTTTTTGTATGTTGTGAATGTAAATATATATGTATATACATAAGTATAGATACAAGTATATGTTGGTAAGTACAATTTTTCTATAGCGCAAACAAACAAACAAGAAAAACTATCTACTAAATATCTAGGTATAGATATATACCTATACTAGTATACTTTTAACATAGATATATTTTTCCTATTTTAATCTTGATTAAATATTAAAATAAAAATAAAAAAACAAAAAGAAAAATAGAAAACGTCAGTTTCTTTTCTTCATTCAATTCTTCTAATTTTTTTTTTTTTTTGCAATATTTACACCTCTTTACTTCTTCCGCCTTTAATTATTTATAGCTCATTTTTTTTTAGGTTTAGTAGTATATTGTTCTAAAATAATAGAAAATTTTATGTAAAGATTGTTAGATAAAAATAATAATAATAAAAGAAACAAAAAAACAAAAACAGAAAATAAGTCAAAAAGTGAATTGTAATTTTCTTTTTGCCGATTTTAAATAGATAGATACATAGGTATACCTTCATACATACATACATAAGTAGGACCTACTATGCTGCTGTAATTTATTGGCCAGTATCTAGTAAAATGAAATTAACCTCAAATTACATAACTTTATGCTTATTTCATTTTATTTTGTTTTTTAATATTTGTGCTGTTTTTGTCGGTTTTCACATTTTATAGATTTTTCAAAAATAAATTGCAATATTAATTAGTATGTATATTTAAATTAAAAGTATATATGTATATATGTATGTGTGTAATATATGTACATACATTTGATTATTATATTATACAGATTAAATTTTTGAAATAAGTAAAAAAAAAATACAAACCTGTTTTTAAGACTATCCTTTATTTTCTTGAACAATATTTTCCAAGTGTAATAATTGTAAATCTTCTGTCACCGAAAATAATAAAACCAAAAAAAAAAGGAAAATGTTACAAGAAAAATGAAAAATCCAATAGCTCCTTCAAAATCAATTAAAATTTTTTTATCCAGTAAGGGTAAGGTTTCTTCTGATTATGAAATACAAATTGTCTTGTTTTCTCTTGCAAATTTTTTTCTTTTTTAAAGTTTCTCTATTGTATACTTTTCTTAATATCTAAAATTACTAATTTTTTTTTCTTTGCTTTTCCTAATTTTCCAATTTAATGAACTTGAAAGTTTAATTGCTGAAATTGGTTGATGATGACGAATTTCGAAAGAGTTTTTAACTTATTTGCAATTTAATTATTTGCGAAATTTATTGATTTATTTATACGTAATAAATAATTTAATTGCAAAATGACTTCAAATAATTTAATTGATTACTTTTAATATTATTTTTTTTACTTTAAATTCAACAAATCACCCCGAAAATACAAAAATCACTGTACGGTTTTTTTTTACACTCGACAAACCAGGAAGTGACATTGACATTTAAATGTCAGAAATGTCAATTTTAAAAAAGACAAAAACAATGCTGCCAATGTTAATAAAATTAGTTAAATTGAATTTTCCAAGATAATGCAGTGCAAATGAAAAGATTCTTTAAACAAAATGTAGAGTGTGCTAGTGCAGACTTTTATTTATATTTTCTTATATTAAGTTACTAAGAATTTTGTATTCGTTATGAAAAGGATTAAAACGATATAAAGAATAATTTTTAAATTATGTTAAATTATATTATAGAATTACATATATATTTTTTATATTTATTTATCCAGTTTATATTATTTGGTTATATAAATGAGGTTTTGTCAATAGATTTTTAACATAATAAAATATTTGTAAGTTTTGAGATCGCTTACAGGCTCGTACTCAAAATGTTTTATGGTAGAATGGCAATGAATTTCGAAAAATTTATTTTAATTTTTAAATAAATAAATCAAGCTTAATGTTTAAAATAAAACTTAATTTAAAAAATTTTAAGTAAATAAATGAAAGTAAATAAAAGATCAAAGAAAACGTTTAAGAACCTGACCTTGAAGAAAAGAAGTGGAAGCATGAACGATATTGCTTTGATTGCGGAAAAGTTTCTGCGTAGAAACTTTTTAGGAAAAATTGAGTTTGTGTACAAGAAAATGTGAGTTTTTTTCAGCAAAATTGTGTTGGGGATATAGAATGAAGAAATTTAAATTCGCTGTCCAGAATCAAGTGAAATTACTACCGCGAATTTAGTCGCCGACTATTAAATATCCTAAATTTATAATTCCATATTTTGTCTAGCGTAGTTTTTTTTTGACATTACCTTTTTGTATAGTTAATTTTGCCGTTCCATTGTTGTTCTAGGTTAACAACGAAAAATGTCCGCAGTTACCATTTACCGCCTTGGTTATGTTTTTATAATTAGTTTGCTAATGTCCAATGTTCATTTTCTGCAAATCCTGTCATTTAATTAATATTCGAAAGTAAATGTCAAATCAACTTCATAAAAATCTTTTAAATTTTTGTAAAAAATAGCATTCTTTGAATTTCTTTTAAATATTTCTCTCAAAAGGTCTAATTTGCAATAATTTTTCGCTTATTATCTCGAATTTAATTTTTCATCCTACTAATTTAATTATACATACTCGTAAATATGTATACTTCAATTAAACTATTTTTAATTAGTTTTAAATAAGACTGCTATAAATTAGATATGTATGTATGTATGTATTTTAAAAAATTTCTCAAATATTAAATTTTATTAATTTTTACATGAAAAATCTTAATATACTAAAAAAAATTTCGACAAATCTTTCTGTATTTTCAAAGATATTTGAAAATTAAAACTAAAAACAAAATTTCGAATCTTTGGTTTTCTAATAAAATGTTTTGGTCAAATTGTTTTTCTGTAAGTTTAACGATTTTCGATAAGTCAGACATGTACTGAAAGTTCTAAATCAAATCTTAAAAACCTTTTCACACATACTTGTTACAAATTTGCAGAAGCTGAATATTTAGGTTTGGCATATTTGTACCATATTATGTACCATCTTCTTCTAATTTGTAATATTTTTGCTAATCTAATTTGCTTTGATTAGTAACTGTAATATACATATGTACATACATACATAAATTGCTATTTGTGATATTTATGAAACGATTAATTATTCAATTCAAATAATCTGGTACAAATTATATTTTAATTTATTAGTTTTCGAAAGTTTTCGAAAGTTCAAGATTTCAACAAGTTTGAAATAAAGTATTTGACAAGCTTTCAATTTTTATACGAAGAATGCAACGGTTATGATTACATAATGACGCTTATTTCTTAGCTTCCATTTTGAAAAGGAACGCTAAACTATATTACTTTCAGGACGCCAACAACTAAGAACTAAGTTTCATTATCATCAGTTTTGCGTCGAACTAAGTTTCATCATCAACATCTTGCGTTGGAGTAAGTTTTAAAATAAATTATCGTTTTTGATGAGAAAACAAAAGTAAAATAAATCTTGCCTAACAATTTTTGAATGCTTTTATTTTATATTATGTAAATGGATTAGAGTATTTTATAACTATTGTCGTTAACTTTCAAGCATTGTTATCTTCTTGCAGTAAATTTCAAAATTTGTTCAAATAGTTCTCCAAAGTATTTTTTCTTTTTATAAATTCAAAATTTCAAAGTAAACATTGGAATAAGTGTTAAATATAGTTTTTGCTAGCTAGTAGCTATTTAAAAATTTCAAATAGAAAGGAAAAGTGAAAAAAAAATGAGGAAAGAAAAATTAATATTAATAAAAGTTGAGAGATAAAAATAAAATTTTCAAATTAAATTATAAGGGTGTTAAAAATTTGCTTTTATATTAGAAAAGTTTTCATATGAATTTTTGGAAGATTTTAAAATTTAATTCAGTTTATTTTGAATTACAAGTTAAAATTGGAAAAAAAAACTTATAAAGCGTACATATTTTATAAGAATTATGAAATTGTAATAAAATAATTTGTGTTGGTATCTCCCAATCTGATTAATACAACATTGAGAATGGATGATGATCGGATCATTTGGAAGAAAGAATTTTTTTGGTAAGTGAAACTTGAAAATTTTAATTACCTTATATTCCTGTACTATATACATACATATGTACATATGTAAATAATTTAATTATTTTCTTTATACAATAAACCCCAGTTCTGTTTTTAGCGATCACATTGTAAACAATAGGGGATTTTATGTGATGACACTAAATTTTACATGCCGACTCGGCATTGCCGAGTACGCTTTATGACAGTGAAGCTTAAGTAAGGATTTCCCCAGCCTGTGTGTGCAAATCAGTATATCAAGTTCGGCTAAACTGATTCTCACAAAAATTTATATCTGAGTTTACTTTGAGGTTGAGGAAGTTTGATCAGCTTTTTCAGGGATATTTTAAGTCTCTTCAATATAAATCTTTATAACTGGCTGTTTCTACGTTTTTGACTATTTTAAATAAAATAATAAGATGATAATATAATCTTATTATTTATAGGCTTTAACCGTCAATACAACAAATCATCCAACTTTTTACAGAAAAAATCAGGTGTCAACACAACGCTTATGCCAAAGGTTAAACCATCACAAAGTGACCGGTTTGCGTGTGCATGTTTGGTTTATTTATTTTATTACTTAGTATACATTTACCATTTGTATCTTTTATGAATATTCTAAAAAATATGGGTTTTTACCTGCCTACTTGTATAGACCCTATACAGAAGCAATGGATACTGCAGTTTTAATGTAAATCAAACTGTAACAATCGTGGAGCATCAAATTCTAACAATGGTGGTGCACCAAGTTCTAGTAATTTTCTCCCGAACTGCTTCAGTTCTATCATCTTCAAAAGTGTTGTTGCATTCAAAGTATTTTACTGAAGATTTTCGCACAGACGCATAGTGTTATCTGAAATATTTAAAATCATAAAATTGCTTGTTAATGCTGTGTAGGTACATACGAGTAATATATTTGAAAACTTTTACAAATTAGTCTTATTATAAAATTAAATAACTTTTCTAATATTAATGTCCTTCCTAAACTATAAAATGTTTCATATATGAAAAAGAATTTTTTTTCTGAAAAGTTATTAGAGTTTTGCTGACTTAAAGAGAAAAACTTCAACTTTATTGTATATACTGTACAGGAATGGTTGACAAGGGCTAAATTGAAAATTAATTTTTTTGTTTTATTCTTTTTTTTTTTTGTTTTCAACTTTACTTTGACCAAATGAGCATCTATAATTCTTAAAACGTTTGCAATATTTCGTGAGATTGACAATATGTGAAATTTGTTTAAGCGTTCAGTATAGAAACAAAAAAAAAATTACCTTTCTTTCATTATTTTGCTTTTTCTTTTTCTATTTTAAACTTTTGAACTCTTAAATCTTCTTTTTATCCTTCTGTTCCGAGTACATACTTTCAATATGCGGTTTTGTGACTTATGTATGTATGTAAATACATTGTACATATGTGACTTTTAATAAACGATCTATAAAAGTTTATTTTCCTATTCGAATTTGCCTTATTTTTATTTTATTTTATTTTTTAAAAAAAAAAAAGAGTCCAATGCAATATTCTTTTCCCATATTTTCCTCCTTTTTTTTCTTCTTTGTTTTCTTGTATATTTTTTAGCAAAATCATCAGGAAATTTTTATACGGATGAATTAACAATTTACAGTCTTCTATATATACATACTTAATAAGAGTAAGGCTAAAAACAAGGAATAAGGAAAAAAAAAACATTCTCTTTCTCTATATAGATTTTTCATCTATATTAGAATTTAAAAATTAACCAACCATTAAACTTTATAAAGAGAAATCCGTCACTATAAAATATAGGAAATTTCATGTTTCCTATGAAATTTAATATTGTTTTTGCTTAGTACTATAAAGGATCAACAAAAGAACAAAGAATGAAAAGTGTGTTTATTGGTGTTTATTGGTACAATATAGCTGTATGAGGTTTTGTCCAGTTTAAAAAGAAAATAATCAGAAATTAAAAAAATTTTAGAAAAAAAGATTTTTATAAATTATATTGAA